CACCAACATCCTATCACCTCTATATTTGGCAGTACCAACATCCCTGCATCCAACTTGTGAGGTACTTGCTTGGAAGGATGATCAACAGATTGTATAAATAAGTCCTAATATGGTTTGGTGTTAGATACTTGCTTGGAAGGGTGCTTTAATACTATCAAAACTGGAGTAGTGAGTGAAGCAGAGATATGCAACTATGGGCTGTGACAAAGGATCAAGTCTTAACTAGAATTAGAAGCACCTCTGGCATTGGTGGAATGACTATAGAAGGCTATTCGGCATAGAAAATGTAACCTACCCCTGTATATCTAAATGCACCAAATCCGAGCTCTGATCACACCTATATGAAAGTCTAGAACGAAAAGAGCTAGGATATACCAGCACAAATACTACACCAACTAGAAATAGCTGGAAGTGATTTAGCTTGCCACTTAAGTAATTTCGTAGTGTTAGGCCAGTCTTTAACAAGATAAATCATTAAAGCAAATTACGAAAGCCAATAGCTGGAAGTGTGTAGCCTTGCGGTTGCTATGCAACTTCAGGGGGTCTTCACGAATTATGGTCTCAGCAAATACCATATAAGGGAGTACATAAGGAAGTAGAAGTTGTACAACTGCATCATACAACTTAGAAAACGTCAAAACCTGTAGATGGCAAACCGTCAGCAGCAGCAGAGGCCTGGCTTAAGATACGAGGTCAGTTTATCTGAGGGAATAAGTAGAAATATTTGCAGCATTCATGTAATGTAACATTGTATAAAGGGATACAAGCCAACAATGTGCGATGCAAATACAAGATAAGTCTAAAGACCCAAAATGTGATACCAATTCTTCTTATATGGGACTGGTGGTGGCAGTAGGCATCTGGCTTGAGATACGTATATGAGAGGCCACCTATAAAAAAGGTTATCTACTAGTACTAGTACGTACTGAATAACAGGCACACCAAATTGAGAGGCTGTAAAAGGACTGATTTCCTGAAAGAACCAATTTGGGAGTAATCAAGGTTTGATGGTGAAACATGGGAGGAATATGGTGAGTAATTAGAAATAGTCTGAATACCAAATCCAGGTATAACCCAATATGTGGCAGGAACGTAGCATACTCTGGTAGGTTTAGGTCATAGATAATTGTCGAAAGCTTGTATTCTTAGATAGATATGTAGCTATATAAGGCAAATACTCTAACCAAATATCTAATAAAGATACGAGGCAATGACCTTACCTTAACACTAAAAAAAAAAAAAAAAAAAATTATAGATCTGATATCACTCGGCTTCCTTTATAGGCACCTAAGTGCGGTTTGTCTCACCAGTTAAGGCTATTGGCCATACCAGAGGGCTGCACCAAGCTAGCTGGTGAAACTATAGCAAGTTGGTTTCAATTTAAAGAGATTTTTAATTAAACTAAATTAGCAATTTTTCTCTTCTAACCTATCTGCCATTTTATCACAAACCAAAACTAATTTTCTATTAATAAATTTTATTTTTTTTCTTAATAGGAGGTTATTGCCAGAAATCTCTTATTTATATTTGTGTTTTCTTTTCTCTTCTTTCAATTAAACCTGTCCTTTCCAATCAGAGACCCAGTTTTTAAAACCTTATATTTCATAGCTTTGTAGTCTTCTTCTACTTCTTGAGAGCTTTTCTTGTAGTTTTTCTTTGAAATACTCTTCTGTAAGCTTTCTTTTCTTCAAAAAATCTTGGGTCTTCTTTTAGTCTTTCTATTTCAAAGTCTTGAATAGTCCATCTGAATTTATTTTCTTTTATGTTCTGGGTATAGAGGTCTTCTCTTTTTCTTTTCTTTACCTTTTTCTTTTTCTTTTTCTTTCTAGGCTTTGGTTTTCTTCCCAAAAACTTTTCTTGAATTTCAACAAAGATTTTCTGATTTTTGAGGATTTCTATAAAGATCTTTTCTAGTATCTTCAATAATATATCTTTTTTCTTCTTTTTCTAATTTTTGGTTTTTTTCATTTATAAGCTATTGTATCTTGGAATGAATTCAAATCAATGCTTCTTTGGTACTTTAGACATCTTAGATTCCATTGGGACTTCACATTATATATCCATTTTGCAAGCAACTCTTTCTTCTTCTTTTTTCATATCCTATTATTAGGTTGCAAGTCTTTGATACTAACTTAGTATATTACTTTTATCAACTATTTTGCTGGGGTTGTTAGTATAATTTTTGGTCTTGTTTCTTCTTGAATCTTGTTTAGTATTTTCGTTTCTTAAGATCTAAAATGCCTTGTCTTTTGCTTCTCTTTTCCTTTTCTTCTCTGATTTTTCTTTTTTCTTTTTCTTGTCTAAATACAGTAGATTCAACAGATATATTAAACTGTAATATTAAAATTTTTAATACTTTTTGGTTCTGCCACCTTTGTCAAGTTTTTCTTTGTTCTTAAAGTCTCTTGCTCCAATCTAGGTTTAACTTCAACTTTATTTTAGTAGCTTACTTTTCCTTTTGTCGAACTTGCATCTTTTTTTTTTCTTCTTTGGCTTTCCTTTTAATCTCTTGTTGGTTTGCTGTGATAGTCTTGACAGATTCTTTGAATTATTGTACTATAGACTTCAGGGCTGTTTTATTGTGCTGTTTTTGTCGATTTTTTCTTTGTTTTTGAAGTTTTTTGCTCTATCCTAATTTTAGTTTTTTAAAAGACTGGATATTATTTTTAGTTAATTTTTTTTTTAGAGCTGCAAGACTTGTTTCTTATTATTGTTTATATATTTTTGTTAATATTTTGTTTTTGCAATTTTGTATACAGAGAATCAGCAGTGAAAGTTATGTTGTTATATAAATTAAATTTAATTAGTAAAACTACAATTGATCTTTAGTATAAATGGATATATATAATTATTATACAATTATAAAAGTAATTTAAGTAATTTTATAAATTATTAAAGTTAAGGTTAGAATTTAAATTGGCTCAAATTAGTTAGATTTTATATATTATAATCTTGTAATAATTATATATGCCTATCTATACTAAAGAAGATCCCTTTATTCTATCAATTTTTTGATTTTTAGTTTGAAAATTTATATATTAAAGCAATAATAAATATATATCAAATTAAATTTTAAATATATTTACTTAAAAGCTAAAAAGGTTATCAAAATAAAACTTTAATTTATTGATATTTTTTTAGAATCTCTAATTTGTTTTACCTTTGTTTTAACTATTCTATATATAACACTGCCTATAAGATCTTTAGAAATAATAATACTATCATGTAATAATAAAAACTAAGTGCTATTTTTGTAATGATTTGTATCTTATTTGTTCAAGCAATTTTGTAAAATTTGATTTTAGATATGCATATAATAAACTTAGACCCAAATCTATTATAGATATTAAAGTTGGTAAAATGTATGAAACCCTGTCTTGTATACGATGATTTACATAAATTTATTATTTAGTTTACTATTAAAGATGTTAATATTGGTTAATATGTATATGGCAATGGTTTTAAAATTACAGTTTAATAATACTTATATTCTATCAGTATATTATTCTAGTACGTATTATGTTGTTGAGTCAATTATAAATGTGAATCACGCGTCAAGCAAAAGATGTTAGTAATTATTAAAATGTATAATCAAGAAATATAAAATTATAAATAAAAGCGTATTCAGTTTTAACAAAAGTTTGCAGTCTAAATTTTTATTTATAAAAACTTAATTATTTAAAGAAAAAATCGACTATAAAAGCATATTTACTATAAACCAATTATATGCCATAAAGAAAAAATCATAAAGTACAAGATGCTAAAAATACAATTAAAGTATAATCATTTAAAAATTTTAGTTCTATATATATCGCTTAATACTAAATCATATAATTATTCGATAATTTCTGGAAAATGTATATAAAATTTTAAATTAACCAATAATCTATATTTAGACTAAATATCTACAAAGAGAGTAAAAACTAATATACAAAAATTGTCACATCAAGTGACGAATAAGACATTCCTTTAAGCTAAATAGAATAAAAGTTCCAATTGGAGATAAATTTTCTCCTATTTCTGCCTATTTTATAGACCTTTTTTTTTTTTTTTTAATCTTTAGTTATAAATATTGGATATACAATTCCAGATAATAGATAAATGTTTTTTTTTTTTTTGCATCGAGAATTTTCATAATTCGTTAGACAAGCTGGCAGCAACAGACGGATCAAATGGATGTTTAACAAGTAGATCATACAATTCATCAGGAATTTGTTGAGCGAGTTGAACAGTTAAATTTATGATAGGTTTGGCATTTAATTCTGGCATTGTCCTCAATAATTTCATTGGACTAAATAGATTTTGTTTTAGTTATTAAGTTTTTAATTAGAATCCATTAAAATTAAACTTGAATGACAAACCTTGGTGCTTCTAGCAATTGATCTCTCATCAATATGAGTTGTGCAATGACGCATAGGATATTTAAATGAACACCGTATGCAAGTAGGAAGTCCCATAATTTCAAAACTTGTTCTAAAGGAGGCGTGCATGCACACAATGTAAGTACAGCTACGGAAGAAGAAAAAAAAATGTTAATTGATTCAGTATAAAAATATAAAGTACGTAATCAAAGTTGCATACAAGGAAATGCATAGATTTTAGCAGTAAGACTTTTTGATTTTAGATGATTGAATAACTGGGGATCAATAATTTGAAGACATCGATCCAAGAGCTATTTAAAAGAGAAATATAAAGCATGTTAATATAAACAGAAACGATGATGATCCACAAGAACCAAAAACAATATAACCTTTAGCCCACAATGAACACCCTGAAGTGTGGGAGTAACGTATAAAGGACAACATGTCTGAATAAATGTAGCAAAAGAAAAAAATGCGTCTATTTCTGACATGGTGAACAAGAATGGAGCAGCAAGAACGTTCATTCCTTGAACATATGTAACCGTTTGGTTCCCACAAATAGTGGATGCTGTAAATAATATTATAAAATATTAGCGATAAATTCATTTACAATCCAATAAATTACAATAAGATGTACGGTCAATTACGTTTCATTTTCCAGACAAAAGCATTCAATACACGAATTAACATATCTTCATTGACTCGTTCTAAAAATTTTTTATCTGTAGCCAGAGTCCTGAACGTATCATTTCGAACTTTATCATAGACACAAGACTTTCCTTTTTGAATAAGGCGAATGTATTCATTGGCAGATACATGATAAACACCAAGTAAATGCTTCCAAACACTCGAACGCATAGAAGTAGGTCTAATCAAGTTTTGAACAGACGGGGCCAATTTTGGAAGATTCTAATAATAAAATAAGAAATTAATCACATAATTTCATATATATCATTATTCCGAAAATAAATACCTCTTCGGGCAAACCCTCTAAAAGGATCATTCTTCTGAGTTTTGAAAGAGATGCCTTAACTTCTCTTTCGGTTCTATGAGTTGTATTTAAAATTTCTTCAAAAGAATTAGGTAACGTGTCTAGTTGAGTTCGTCGTGAAGAAGCCGAGTTAGGAGTTGGTGAAACATTTTTTCTTGACCACGTGAAAGGACGTTGTCGAGCAGTAGGTTGTGACATATTTGTTTTTGACTTTACACACTTTGTTTCAGTTAGAGAAGAAGGTTTATTACTGATATCTTTTAACAAAATGGTACTCTCTTCAGTACTTAATTTCATTTCTGAGTTAAGGGTATCCGGAAGACTGTTAGTAGAACGTCTAAAGTAATTTTTATGAGGCGGTACTAATAATAAATTAGAAGGCTTTTCGTGTAAGGCGCTTCCGTATGGTGATAAGCCAGGCGTAGGTGAAAGAACAATAACGGGAGCCATATTACACCTAAAAAGGTAAAAAAGTATTTGCGAGTCGAGGTTAAAAAGGTTTAAAAAGAGTATTTCTAGAATACTTATAGAAAGCAGAGGAAAAAGGTAGGTTTGCTGACGTTTATGTTTTTACCGGTTTTTTTGTACGGAATCCTTCTTCATCCTGCACGTAATATGCAGGATGCTGTCGCAAAATGCAGAAATTGAATTATTTTAGACGAATAAGCTTTTAAACTGTATCACATTAATAAAAGCCATAAAATTTAGGAAAGAATCTTGTTTCGCGTGATATATGGAAAGACTACTGGATATATCGATATACATACGTATTAAGTTTAATATTCGGACTTTAAAATTCATTGTATATATTCCTTTAAAAGGACAATGGGCAACTAAACTGTAAAATTTTGGGGTAAGGCGGGAAAGTCGTGTGATCCTAGAAACTTTATATTTTATTATATAGTTTGTATAATCCCTTACAACGATGATTATGATAATTACTGATTCGATTTTTAGTCCCTATTAAACGATCGATCATTCGACGTTTCAAATTTATATATTTTGTCTTGAAAATTCACATGAACATGATTTGTCATTGTTTTATACCACAAGCAGCTAATATTGTAAAAAGTTGCTAGCCCAAAATATAAAGGTTTACATAATTTACAGGAGACCTCTATATTCTACCACACTCTAGTGATAATATGCGCATTTGTCACGGGTCAATTTTCATAGACAGAACTTTCGTTTGATTGGAGATCAATTGCCCGGGTAACTTATTTATGTATTTTAAAGTATATCGATATACGTACGTACTTTTTAAAAATATAACGTTTCACTAATAAAAATCTTGTCTTAAAAAAAAAAATTCACATTCACTACGTACGTACGTACACCATTAACTTTATTTTTAACAAAATGGAAATCAGATTGTATTTTTTTGTGGATGCTTATTTTTAATCTAATCTATTACATTTATTGCTGGTATACAGTAGCTATAAATAAAATTTTAAATCTTAAAAAGCTATACTATACCTATATATACTGTATATAGCCAACTCTAAATACAGTATATTAAATATAAATTTTAAGTAATAATTACTTATTTTTTACCTCAATACTTATACGTACATACATATTATTACGTACTAATTATTCTCTATGATGAATGATTATTACTTATCACGTTTTACAAATATCAATATAATCAAAAAATTCAACTAGAGATTGTGAATACGGGCGGCTTCGCCACCCGGTGACATTGTGGTAGTATATTAAGTTTTTAGTGTTCTTGTGTCATGGTTAATGCAAATCAATTGTCCGGGTAACTTATTTATATGTTTTGAAATACTTTTAAGAACGCAACATTACACAAGTAATCGTTCTTAACAAACGTCGTCTTTAGCTTTAAAGAGTGTTAGAAAGCTAACTTTAAAAATAATTTCTAACAATCTCTAATTTAAGAGAGGTTGGCTTAAACACGATTTTCTGCAAGAGATAAAGAAAAAAAAGCCATGTCTAAATTTTAAAATACACAAAAACAAAGTATTTATTAACAAAACAGTTGTCTCTTTTCTTAAACTTGAGATTTAAGTTAGGTGTTTAAAGCAAGACAAGTTTGTTCGTGTGAGAGTTTACATTCGTTAAAGATCAATCTGGGTTTATAGATAGTAGGGTTAGCAATTCGAGTTTTGTTTTAAACTTTATATGTGTCTATCTATCTTTTATATGTATATAATTTAATAAATCATACGTATTTACCGATTTATATAAATTTTTTCTTGAAGTTTTTGTTTCTATATAGTAATATTATAAAATAATGAATTGTAATTATGTGATTTGATTGGCTAATCATCACATGTAGAATTGATTTATGTAGCTACGAATTTCAGCCTATAAATTTATGTGTTTGAAATTACACAGAATTAGTAATTAAAATATAAGAGATGAATATTTTTATTTTTTTTATTTTATTTATTTTATTTTTTTTACTTTAGCGTTCTATTTTATTTTTTCAAATTGGTAGCAATTTACAATAAGATTTCAGTTGGCTAAATTTATATTATCTATACTATTAATTGCTTTACACCAGTATAAAATAAAAATTCTCTCAATTTGTCTCATTATTATAGTAAAATCATGGTGAACTAAGATTAAGCACTAAAGTATAATTCAGAAATAACCTGTCTAAGTAAATATTTTTTTCACTTAAAATTTTCAAGTTTCTTTTTTTTTATTTTTTTTTTATAATTTGTCAATTTTGACTCTGTTTATTTAAGATTAAACTATTCAAAAAATTTATATAAATTTTTATCTATAGTTGTAATTAATCTAGCTAAACAGAAAACTTACTCAGCTTATGCCTAGGTGTGATCTACCTCAGTAGTTCTTTGCTTTTCTCTGAGTTCTTAACTTATTAAGAACTTGAATTCTTTGATTATAAGTTGACAATAGGATTCAGAGCACAGGTAAAAAATTTGGCATGCCTATATAAGCATACCATTGGGTTGTGGCATGCTCTTCATACCCAGTATTATCAATGGACATGGATATAGACATGGATAGTCCATAGATATAGACAGTTCATGAACATAAACAATTAATGTTTATAAACAAATAAAGAGCATGTTTATATTCATGAACATAGTGTTGTTTATGGACAATTAGAATTATTACTGATTAACCAATAGTATTCTTAGATATTTGAACATTATCTATAAACAAATATCCATGTCCAATAATTTGATTAAACATTTATTACTGATCAGCCAATAGTATGCTTGGACATTAAACATCATCCATAGACAAATGTCTATGTCTAATGATTTGATTAAACATTTGTCTAAGTATATTATTGGGCCACAGATAATTATATAAATATGAACATTAAACAATGTTCATAAACTGTCTATATCCAATAATTTTCTTGAATATATATCTATATATATTACTGGACATGTCTATCTAAAATCACGTAATTAAAACTGTCATTAGCCAATCACATAATATAAATTATAGCTATAATATATCAATTAAAAAATATGATTACTAACCAATCAAATCAAAAATGATATATGAATAATAACTTATTACCAAATGATTTGTTATTAAATTATTTATTACTATATTAGCAAAGCTTTACTTTTAATTATATATTTTAAAATAATAATTATATTCTATATTTTGTTATTACTACTTTTGCAAAAAATATACTACAGCTTTGGTCTATATTAAGTTAATAAAAACTATTATTGAAACTTAGATTTTGTTGAATAAAACTTATAAAAATTGTTATTGAAACTTAAATATTGTCAAAATTTTTTATACTATAAGACCAAAGCTATTTTTATATTTTTAAGATTTTTGTTCTATACTGTATATAGTTTTGTATTTTTACATAATCTACCCTTTGACATTGTTACTAAAAAGATTTTGGAATTTTAAAAAAATATTTCAGATTCAGAAAACTAAAGTCTTGTTGAATATAAACATAAAATTTTTATATTACAACTTTAAAACTAGCCTTGTATTCTTTAAATCTTTGTCATATACTACACATAAACCTGTATTTTATATGATCTATCTACTGGTATTGTTACTAGTAAAAATTTTTAATCAGTAAAAAATAACTTTTGATCAAAAAAGCTTGATGCTTTTACAAAACTCTAAATTCTAATATTATACTAAATGAATTGCTTTATTAAGTTTAATTTGTTTTATTAAATTTAAAGAATTACAATATTGTTGTATTGCCAAATAGCAGAACAAGAATTTGAATCCTACTAATAACAAAATTTGAATTTTATAGAATATGTTATGTCAGACTATATATAATCTGATGAAACCTTAATTGTACCAGTTTGTAAAAAGCTATGGAATATTAGTATAATGCAAGAATTACACAAAATCTGAGTAAAGGTGATAAATAAATCTAAAAGCTTAAATATACAAAAGCCTGTTTAGTAAGACTAAATAGAGAGGTAACACAAATCTTTAACAGACTATATAAAGGATTATTATTCAGAGCATTTGCGAAATCTGTGCTTAGTTATGCATGATTATGCATGATCTACCAATCAGATTTGAGAATCAAGTATAATATAAACAAATATTCGTTTTGCCAAAAATCGCTTCTTTCTCAAAAATCTGCATAATAAACCACTTTTAATGCACTAACAAAATGTTTTCCTTATGCGATTTTACTATATAACTACCAAGCTTTTAACTTTATACGAAACGCTAACCCTAACATTATGAACTTTAAAGAATTTTACATAATGATCAGCAACATGCATAACCTGCCTCAGATTTCGTAAATGCTTATTCAGAAGACTAAAAAAACTAAACAGAACCAAAGTGTTTGGCAAAATATTTCAACTACCAAGCTGCCAAAAAATTGAAAAAAAGGATTACCCTTTTGGACTATCTGAATTAGAAGTTTAAAAAAGCTGAAGAGACAGTTAATACTAAAGTTTAGATAAACTCTACAAGAGTAAAAGTAGATAACAGTAGTGGTTTTGGTTTACAAATACTTGTCTTTAAACTTGGCATAAGTTATCAAAGACTAGATTAGCTAGATTGTAAATATGAAAAGCTCTAGTAACAGCATCTCAAGAATAAATTAGTTTTAAGAATATAGGAACAGTATCTAAAACTTTTTAACTGATAATTGTAACAAAAATATACTGGTAATTAGAGTTAGAAGCACAGATTATAAAGCATGCCCAAAAGGCATACCTCTTGGGCATGCTTCTAAACATGTCTTTTTTCAAAAAATTTATATATATATAAAAAATTTTGGTGGTATACCTATCAAGCATGCCTCTAAATTAAAAAAATCAGAAGCATACCTATAAAACATGTCTAAAAATTTTTTTGTACCCCCAATTCTATTAGTAATACAAATTAGGTTGCATTACAAAGTGTTTAAACAACTTTAATTTATATTAATTGATGATTCTCCAGTAAACAGGAGAATAATCATAGTATAACATGACATAGTTTTATAT